TGGGCAACTTGGTGAGACCTCATCTCTACAATAAAATCAAAATGAACCGGGCGTGGTAGCGTACGCCCGTAGTTCCAGCTACTTGGAAGGCTGAGGTGGAAGGATCACCAGAGCCCAGCAGGTCAGGCCGCGGTGACTGGGAGCGGCCACTTGTTTCGTGCTCTTACCAGGACACCTATGAGTGTGTAGAAGGCCAGTGTGTCTGGTCACCCCTACTGTGTTTTTTGTTGTTTGTTTTTTTTTTTTTGGGCGACAGAGTGAGACTCCAACTCAAAAAAAAAAAAAAGTAAATGAGAGAGAGAGAAGAGCGTCACCTCCCCAAGTTAGGGGAGGGGGCCAAAGCTTAGGAAACATGGCCTGGTCAGTGCTCGAAGAGCTACGTGGGCACACCAGAGTTTAGCGAAGCAATGGCCTGACTTATTTATTATTTTTTAAATGTTTCTGTAGAGAGGGGCTCTTGCTTTATTACCCACGCTGGTCTTGAACTCCTGACCTCATGTGATCCCCCTGCCTTGACCTCCCAAAGCATGTGGATTATAGGTGTGAGCCACTGTGCCTGGCCAAAAATCATTAAATGAAAAGCAATAGTTTCCCTCTATTTAGACCATCAACTTCACAAAGGCACCAACCTAATTCATTTTTGTTGCATTCCTGAAGCATTTACAATAGCCACAGGTCCCACTAAGTGATGGATCTGCCAGCCTCTCACTCACCTGTCACAGAGGGTCACCTCGGGTCTGTGCCTCACCTGCAGACAGTCACCGTGGAGAGGGAAGAAGCCTGCAAGGAGGTAGTTGCCGGGAAGGCTGAAGTCAGGAGAGAATTCTGTGTTGTGGCAGCTGAACGCCCAGCAGCAGGAGATGGAAAGCTGTAGGCCGACCAGGTGAGCCACGTGGTGGAACATGCTGGCCAGATGCCCCTGAGTCCTGCATGGCCTATGGCAGCTTCCTCTAAGGGGGCCAGCTGCTTAAATAGAATGCAGCTGCCAGAGGCTTTCTAACTTCATGCCCCCGAAAGGGGTGGGACTGTAGCCCAATTGTAGAAGCCAGACTGTTTGCCTTGGCCTTCCGGGCCTGTGGTCTCCCTCAGGAATGGGACAGGGCGAAGACAGGGATGCAAACCAGGTGGCACTTGGTGACCCTTCCTCTGAACGGTTGTGGGTTCTGCCCAAGCTTTGGTGCTTGTAGGTTCACCTGGTTCAGAAAGGGAGCCCTAGCATTTTGAGGGGAGAGAGAGGCTGGGATACAACTTCCCTGGGCACGGTGAGGTTTTAGAATGTTTCACCTGGGCCTCAGTTCATCGAATGAGACACAGCTTTGAGTGGATGCACCCATCCCCGACTCCCCACCCCCAGATCGAAATTCTGAGTTAATCTTCATAATTTTGCCTTGTTACCTGGGGTTGCTCCTCTCAGCCCAAAGACGGATGCATGCAAACCCAAGATATGCAAATAGGCCGGTTTTGTTTAAACTACTGATCCTAGAGCTTTTTCTGCAGGGAAAAAAAAACCCAGGTGGATTTCCTGAAAGGTGGCCAGATGGCTGGACCGGGGTGGGGGGCGGATTCTGGCTTTCTGTCTCCAGCCAGCCAGGGTGTGGCTTTTGCATAATGTAAATGGGGACAGGGCTTAGTGGCTCATATCTGTCATCTCAGCACTTTGGGAAGTGGAGGCGAGAGGATTGCCTGAGCCCGCGGGTTCGGGACAAACCTACGCAACATGGCAAGACCTGGTCTCAAAAAATTAAACAGGTGTGGTGGCGCGTGCCTATAGTTCCAGCTACTTGGAAGGATCACCGAAGCAGGTGGAGGCTGCGGTGACCGTGAGCGTGCCACCGCGCTCTAGTTAGGGCAACAGAATGAGACTCCAACTCAAAACGATGATGATGATGATGATGATGATGATGATGATGATGATGATGATGATGATGATGATGATGATGATGATGATGATGATGATGATAAATGTAAAAGGGCCCTGGGTGGGGCGGCAGAGCACCCCACCACGCCGACTGTAGCCTCGACCGCGCTTCCGGAGGCCGCCGGAAGAGGGCGCCAACGGCTCCGCGGCCGCTCCTTTCCGCGGCTCAGCGGGCAGAAGTGCGAGGCGGGGCGACAGGATCTCGCGAGATCCACGCGCGGCAGGCGCCGCTGGCTCGGCATGGCGGACTCCGCGCCGCAGCTCAAGCAGGGTTCTTGCCGGCCCACGTGGCTGCGGGCTCGCAAGGCCCGGCCCCAGCTCATCCTCGGCCGCCG